AATATAGGTCCTTGTGCTAAACTTTAAGAATTGGTGTAATGCAAAAGCTGGGATTATTAAAACTGCAAAATATCTTCCTTTTTAGCGAGCATTTCATTTCTAAACCTTAATTATTTTATTGAAAGAAAAGTAGAACTTAAAAAGAAACATTAAATTTATAGTCAACTGGCAAATTTACTTACATAGAAATGACACAAAAATATTACTACATAATTGGAGAGATAAAGGTAGTTTCTCCATATTATGTTAAATAAAAAATTCACACACAAATTCGCTGCCACTGAGCTGATTCCGACTTGAATCAATCCGATAGAATAGAATCCCCCCTCCTCAGTTTCTGAGATTGTTAATCTTTAAGAAAGCAGACCACCTCACATTTCTCCTTCCAAGGGGCTAATGGATTAGAACTGCTGATCTTTCAGTTGGCAGCCCAACATTTAACCCCTGTGCCACCAGAGCTCCTTCATAGTCTATCCCATATCTAGTTATACAAAGGGAGTATAAAATAGTTTAGTGGAGAGTGTTCTTTTCAGGCTCATTTCACTAGTTATACTTCAATTTAAATATGGTAGATTGTGTTCATTTTTTGAAGACATATAATGTTGGAACTTGAAGATGTATTAGAGTTCAACCTGTTCATTGTCCATAATGAAAAAAAAAAGCTTGATTTAACGATGACTAAATCAAGAATTTTAAAGAATAATCCTCCTAAATGTGTATGTACCTGTTAACAGAATATTAAAATACATGAAGCAAAACCTGACAGACCATGAGAAAAATTAGGCAAGCCCATAATTAGGGTGTGATTTTCAACATTCTTCTTTCAGTAAATGAGAACTGAAACCTACCATTGAGTCCCTTCTTACTCACAGAGGCCCTCCTGGACAGAGGAGAGTCAGTATACAGCAGGCAATTAATAATGATACAGTAGACTAGAACAATGCTACTAATTAACCAACTAGACAAAATTGATGCTTATAGAACATATCACCCAAGTACAGTAGGTTAAACCCATTTTTCAACTACACATTGAAAAGATAGGCCATTTTCTAGACCAAAGCACTAATAATATTACATTTCTTTCACTGCCATCAATTGAGTGCTGACTCATAGCAACCCCTTGTAGGTTTCTGAGAGTGTAACTGTTTACTAGAGTAGAAAGCCTAGTCGTTCCCCCTTGGAGCTGCTGGTGTTTCGAGCTGCCATCCATTCACATTGCAGCCACTACAACTCCAGGACTCCATAGCAATACATTTAGAAGGATTGAATTATACAAAATGTGTTGCCTAAACACAACAAAACTAAATTAGTAGTCAATAACAGAAAACTAGCTGGAAATTTCCCAGCTTGTTGGAAATCAAACAGCATATGTCTAAATAACCCATGGGTCTAAGAAGAAATGAAAAAGAAAATTGAAAGTTGTTTCTTTGCTATATGAACATAGATGCATAAAGTATCAAAATTTGTAGGACTCTGCTAAAAAAATGTTTAGAAGGAAAGTTAAACATTTAAACGCTTGCATTACAAAAGGAAGTTTTCAGATCAATGTCCCAGGCGTCTAGCGTTCAATTAGAAACTGAAGAGCTTATTAAAACCAAAACAAGCAAAAGACAGGAAATAGTAATAAGTTGAAATTTATGAAATAAAAAGCAAAGAAAGAAGACCAGTGAAAAACTGGAACCTTGACAAAGCAGTAATAATGGAAAGCTTCTAGCCAGACTTAACAGAAGAATAGGAAGATATAGCTGGCCAATACCAAGAATGAATCAATTTTGTTTTAGAAATTTAAAGCCATGTCTTAGGCAGAATGAGTAGCATCTCTGTATCGTTCATTCATCCTATGCTCAGGGACTTTTGTGGCCATCATTACACATATGTTCCAGCAAGATAATAAAACCTGTGTCTTTCTGCCTATCCTCTCATTGTCTCTCTCTGTCTAGGAATCCGTGAACAAAATGAGTCCCTTTGTTTTCCCTTATTTTCTTACTTCTCCTAATCATCAAAACTTCTTTCATACTTTACATCAAAACAATGATTAAATGGAGGTTATTAGCATTGGTACACCTGTCCTTTCCATTATACATCTTTCAAATTCACCCAAATCCTTAATATTTCACATTAGAACTACAATAACTAGCTCACTTGCCTCTATTTGCCCATGTCAACCAATGTAAGGCTACTCTTTAAATACAATAGGACAAAATACATATCCTGCCTAATCCAGAGATCCTTCAGTAAATAACTTCTATTTTCTTATGAAATATCTATAGTGAGAATTAAATATTGATTGGTTAAAATCCTCAGAGCCTTCATTTAAATAGACCTTAACTCCCTTTTGATACCTGAAAGTTGATCTTTCATCATCTAAGGATTATGTCCGTATGTTTATCTCACAATAAGTTCTTCTTCTATGAACATATATCATTTGTTTTTACCTTTCTCTTACATTTGTATACATTCACATATAACAAAGAGATAAAATATAAACATATATTACTTACAGAGAATACAACTAATTCACAGATAACCATATGTGTTAGGCCAGTTTGACTGGAAACGCAAATCCAGAGACACTCATGTATGCGTAAGAGAGAGTTTTAGATCAGAGTAATTGTATTTTAAGAAAAGATTCCAGCCCAGTGCAGATCAAATCCATAAGTCCGATGTTAGCCAATATGTCCAATACTAGTCCCAAAATCCTTCTTCAGACTCACCGAGTCACATGTAATGATGCAAAATGCAGGAAGCTCAAGACTGGTGGGTGCAAAGTCTTGTGGATCCAATGGCAATGGAAGCATCTCAGCAGTGACATGGGTCTCTACGTGGCTCCTCAGCTTTCTGGGTGTGGCTCTTCCACAGGAAGGTGAAGGTGAAGCAGAGAAGAGTGTGGCATCAGGATTGGAGGAAGGCTTATTAACAACATGCAGTATGCAGATGACACCACCTTGCTTGCCGAAAGTGAGGACGACCTGAAACACTTGCTGATGAAGATCAACAATAGCTTTCAGTGTGGATGACAACTCAATGTCAGGCAGACCCAAATCCTCACAACTAGAACAATAGGTAACATCATGATAAATGGAGAAAAGGTTGAAGTTGTCAAGGATTTTGTCTTGCTTGGATGCACAATCAATGCTCATGGAAGCAGCAGGTGAGAGGCCAAAAGATGCATTACATTAGGTAGATTTCCTGCACAAGACTTGGACTTATAGTGGTAAATAAGCCCCCAAAGTAAATAATTTAAATTGGCGATTGGTGCTCAAAGGTGAAATGGTAGAGAATGGTAGATGCATTGAATTGTGGTGCTGGAGAAAAATCTTGTGATTAGCATGGACCACTAAAACGACAAATTGATCTGTTTTATAAGAAGTAAGGCCAGACTGCTCCTTAGATGCAAGGATGGCAAGACTGTCTTACATATTTAGGACATATTGTCAGGAAAGACCAGTCCCTAGAGAACAACATTCTGTTTGGCAAGGTGGAGGGGCGGTGAAAAAGAGGAAGGCCCTTACCAGATGGACTGCCACAGTAGCTGCATCAGTGGGTTCGGGCATAGGAACAATTGTGAGGATGGTGCAGTGTGTCGTTCCACTGTGGGTCAGCGCCGTCTTGAGGGCACCCAACAACACTATTCACATTTCAATCTTTATCACCTACCAGGAAGGCCTTCTCTGGACTGCACTCTGAGTGTGATTTTTTTCCTATTATTTCCCATTCTTATCAAAGTTATTTAAACTGTATGTTGTATGCCTTATTGGTTTATTGCCTTTCTCTCCTGCCGACCCAAAGGTTTCACAAGGGAAGCTAGGGCTGTGTTCACCATTACCACAGTGTCGCGTTTGTTCTTTGCCTATCATATACTCTGTCCCCAACAAATCATTATTGAATTAATTATTGAGTGAGTGAAAGAAAGATAAAAAGAAGTCCATTAAATAATTAGAAAATAGCCATTAGGAAGAAAATAATAATTTTACTATATATAAAAAATATATTAAGATACCTTTTTAAATCTATGTAATAATATGTGAAAGTTTTAATCCCCATTTAAGCTTGGAGAAGAGAAACCTTTTCCATGTTCTTCCCGCACCCCCGCCCCCCGGCCCCCCCTCCCCTTGGTCAGTGTATTAAATATTTGTTGAATGCAAAAGACGATGAAGCAAACAAAGTAAAAAACCTCACTACTATTGAGTAGATTTCAAATAATGGTGGTACTACAGGATAAAGTACAACTGCCCCCTTTTGGTTTCTGAGAGTTTAAATTTTAGGAGCAGACAGCCTCATCTTTCTCCCATGGAGTGCCAGTGGATTTGAACCACTGGCCTTGTGGTTAACAACTCAGTGCATAGCCTGCTATGTCAACAGGGATCCTTGAGTAAGAGGATTAGTATCACCATTATGGAACAACTCGAGCTAAATGTATTAAACATTGAATTGTTTTTACTGGCGTGTATATCCACTGATAGATATTTGTTATAAGAAATAATTATAATATAGAGAACATATACTATTTAAAGATATTTCGCTTATTGTTATTCTTAGCAGTAAAATACCATAATCTGCCCTAACATCTGGTAAGGTGACCGTTGGGTAAAGTATAGGGTGCCCCCCACATTGTACATGAGGAGACCTTCATCTCAACATGAGGATGATAATATGGTTTCAAAAATACTTACATTATGAATGCAAATACATTAAGAACACAGCTTTTTAAGCCTTGTTTTCAAATTTTGTACATAGAATAGAGTGACGGGAAAAAAGATGTCATACTGCTGTGGCCGTGAGTGATTTCCACTTCTTCTTTTTCATCTTCGTCTTCCTCTGTGGTGCTTTTTTTTTAACTACGCACATAATTAATTTTTACAGGGTTTTATGTGTATTGAATTGTTCATGGCAACATGGCTTGTATATTAATCTTTGGTTTCCATTTTAGTACATTTAAGTGAATCCTGGCTCTTACATTTTATAACCACTGAATCAAAACCCCATGCTCTCTCCCTTAGGATGACAAACTTGTTCCTGAAAGTTCTCACGCTCATGGGTTAGATCACTCATTCTCTTGGCAGGACCACGGAAGCTTCCTGTCTAGTCCACGATTTTCACACTTGAACTGTAAGTAATGAAGCCCAGCACCAATTTTCTAATTGGGTTTCAGAAAGTGCAACTCATGGAAAAAATTATGCACATGGTCAGTGGATGGTAGTAACGTTCATATTGTGAGTTTTGGCGGGTGGGGGGGGGATTCATTGTGAATTACACAAGGGGGGGCCTTCAAAAAAGTTTGAGGGGAAGTGGAATTAAAAAATCATGGAATTTTTCCATGAATTTTTTGAAGTTCCACCTTTTTACAAATAAGACCTCTAAATGCCTTTGTAATAGTGCACAATTTACTAAAAATCACATGGAATTCATTCAAGAGAATTTAAAATAAATCAGCTGAAGCAAAAATCTTAACGAAGCATTTTCTTGTTTGTTTGGTGATTCCTAGTCATGCTGGATGAAAGATACAGGAAGCCCGGTATTATCATAACAACATCCAAATCATCCCAAAGTGAAAAAGATCTGCCTAGAACTGTTCAGGCATCTTGTGAAGTGAATGAGGCTACTGTTGTCTAGATTTCACTCTGTGCATGCTCAGTATTTGTGATAAAATATCATAAGGAATGACACGGTGTGAGTCCTCCCCTTGTTGTCCTCGCTCATCAGGTTTCAGCTTTGCTGTAGCTGGATTTACCATTTTAAATGGAGTTTCTGGTAGGAGCTGTATTTTTTCTTTCAAGGCCTTCTGGTTGCATTAGTTTGGGGAGTGATTTGTCACGTGGGTGGTTTTGATTCTCAGCCCCAAAGTGTAATCCAGAGGACAGGAACAATGTCCAGGATGTTCTCCACTGTTTGCTCATATATTAATAGTTCTGCACACACAGTAAGAGGTCAATTAATATTAGATGGATGTATGTATGGTTTTTTTTTTATTTCAAAGTCCACTTTTGTCCAAGCCTTTGAAGCTCAAATGGATTCTTACTTGGATAAGTATCTCTTGAGTTGGCCCCAGCCCTGAAAAGCTTATACATTAAATTGTATAATCCGGCCATTTAAAATAGTAGGTTGCTATTAAATAAAGTACCAAAATAAGCTACAAGAAGTAGGTCAAATCCAAGAGTGATAAGTTTCATTTTTGCTGATCTATATTCATGGATTCATTCAATAAATATTTATCACTTTTTGATAAATGGCTTGATTTTCATTATACCATGATTATTTTATTCCGAAAGCTAAGCATTTTCTCTTTCCTGCCCCCATTGTTTGACCAGTAGTTTTGTGTCTGCATAAGCACTCTGCTATTCTAATCTGGTAGGTGCTCTTCACCTGCCAGATCATTCTTCAGGATGGTTATGGGACCTTAGACTAGGATATGCATGTAGATCACATTTTTTACCTTTCACATTAAGCTATGAAAAATTATCTCCAGGCCTGGTAAACCAGAGGGCCTAGGGAAATAGGAGGGGAGGGCCGGATTTAGCACTGTCGATGCCAGATGTTCCATCTCGTGACACAGCCAGGACTCCTATAGGAACATCGCACCCTGACAGGAGGTCTGTGACTATTCAGGATGGTCAGTATGTCTCCTAGCAAGGCACCGAGAAGGAAGTGGTTAGAGGACGTCAGGGGAAAACATAAAAGTGTTTGAATTTTATTTAATAATGTGGTAGGTAGTGAATAAAAAACTGTACTCAGCTTTCCATTCGGTAGCATTTTATGAGCAGCTGTGGTCATTACTCTTCATTAGAATCTACTCCTCACAGCAAGCCGTAAGCTCCCTACATAAAGTCACCAGTGGGTTTAGCAGCAAATCAAGTTAAATAAGAGTAGGAAGAGGTATGTGAGAACATAATTTTAGATTTTAAAAAATACCTGTTACAATTTATATTGTAAAATCTGGCCAGATAATGTCACATAAAATCATAACTCTCTATTAACTCAAGGAAGCAACCTTATGACTTATTATTCTTCTTTGGATACATTTTTAAGGATAACATTTTAAAAATTGAATCTCATTGCTTCCTTATCACTAATCATTTTTAAGTGATTTAATTTATGTCTTTCTTAAAGTCTTATTTACTCTTATTTGCTTTTCTGATAACCCTTGGATTTTCTGTTCCTTTTTCATAATGTGGAGTATTAGAAGATGGAAAAAATAGGATCAACTCTGGACAATTCCGTTTAGTTGGGGAAACTGTTCTATAACTTCTTTTCAGTCTCTCTTTAAACCTCCCAAACTAAAAAAGAGAGATCAGACCCCCCAAAGAAAAAAAATGTAACCCACCGTAAATGCTCCCTAAATACAAGGAACAACACCACCAACAAAAACTTTTTTAAAATTACCATTAATTCCCTTAGACATGTAAGAGAAACATTGGCTCCATTAAATAGGAGCATGGTTCTATGAAAAAGGAAAAAAAATTAATATAATTGCCATAAAACAAAACTCACTACTTTTGAGTCCATTCTAACTCAGAATGACCCCATCGGATAGAATAGAAATGCCCTGAGGGTTTCCAATGTCACATTTATTTACAGGAACAGCAGCTTTCTCATTCTCATACAGAATAGCTGGTAGATTTGAACTGCCAACCCTGTGGTTGGTCCCCTCCAATGCTTAACCCACTGTACCACCAGGAATCCTTATAATTGCCAGGAGGAAGATAAAAAGAGAATGGTCAGAACAAAAGTTGAGGGAATCCCAGTAAAAGTAGAAGAAAAGGTCAGAATAATTGGACAATCAAAGAGAACAAATAAATTCATAAGATCCATCTAGGAGTTGGACAATAAGAGAGAAAAAAATTATTCATAAGATCAATCCGTGAGGGACAATACCTGATTACCAAGAGATGCAAGAATGAAGAAAGGACAGAACAGAGGACCAGCAGTGTCCATACTAGAGATAGCCAGCCAGCAAATAGCTGCTGTCCAATTGCCATCTGAGATATCTCTTCATTCTGTTTCTGGTATCGGTTGCCTACTTCCTGCCTCCTTTAAGGCTACTTCTTTCCTAAAGGACAGGGAAATATTTTCAGATTTTGTATTTCTGGAAGTGAATGTTTTCTACCCACAGAAGCTTGAGAGTTTAGCTCTAGCGTTTTAGGTTGAAAATAGTTTTCTACCCATTGCCATCTTCCCATTATCCTCCAAAATCCATTGTGGCTGTTGCAAAGCTTTATGTAATGTCCGGTTCCTGTTCCCTTCCTACCCTTCTCTGGAATCTTTAAGGGACTTCTTTTTAATCCCAGTGGTTTTTTATGATGATGGGTATATTAGTCCGGATAAACTAGGGAAAGAAATCCACAGAAACTCATATGTATAAGAGAGAGTTTTATATAAAGGTTAAGTGTACATTAAGAAAACATCCCAACCCAGTGCTGCCTAAGCCCCTAAATCCAACATTAGCCCATATGTCCGACACCAATCTAGAAAGTCCTCCTCCATCTCCCAAAGCAGCCGCAATGATGCCGACTGCAGGAGGAAAGCCGAAGCAGTGAGCGTGTAAGCATCTCAGCACCGGCAGGGGTCTCCACATGGCTGCTCCAGCACCCAGGGCTGCTTCTGGCTAGGTCCATGTGCCTTCTCCTCAGGGATGTCTTGCAAGAAGTGAGCCTTGCCAGCTGAAGCAGGGAACTGGCTAAGGTAGCTGCACCCTGGTCCAAACATCAGAAAGCAAGAGACCTAGAATGGCGAGGTTCACCGAGCTATTTATCTCTCCGCCCTTCAATTAACCCCACATGTGTTTATCGGCCAGGTTGGCACAATAAACCTTAACAATCTCAATGGGCTTCATAGGATTTCCCTTGCTGCCTATTATGTGGGCCCTTTTCATCCACTCTGAAGCTTCAGTTCTCAATGATTGAAGGAAGGTCCGAGAAATTCCACTAGAAAATTTGGCTAAATGTTCCAGTCAGTTTGTGGGAGGGGGACAAAAATACTCAAAATACTGACAGACAATAAAGTAAATGTGAGCACTCTGAAAAACCACCATAGCTACATGGCATACCTGACTGGGCCCTAAGAAACACTTATGGGGAAATTTTGGGGTGGGGAGGTGGGGGTGCAGCAAATGGAAACAAAATCCAACAACTTCAAAACATGGGTTGATTAATAACCTAAAAAAAACCTCACTGCCACTGAGTCAAGTCCAACTCAGAGCCCCTAGAGGACAAAGTAGAACTGCCCCGCGGATTTCAGAGATGATATTTATGAGGGCAGAAAGCCTTGTCTCCCTCCCAGGAGTGGCTGGCAGTTTCAAACTGCTGACCCTGTGGTTAGTAGCCCAACACTTAACCCCTATGCCACCTTGGCCCCTACGTGGGTGTAAAGAGGAAGAAAGGAAGCAGTGGTCATAGTACACTTGTAGGATTGTGGGAGCCATATTGATGTATACAGTAATAATATAATATCAACACCCCCTGTTAACTAAAAGTTCAGATGTAACTATACTGGGAGGACAGGAGGAGAATTGTGTGGGCATGGATAGATAGTCTCTAAAAATGATAAATAACAATATGAGCATTTTTTAAAATCATTTTATTAGGGGCTCATACAACTCTTATCACAATCCATACACACATCAATTGTTTAAAGCTCATTTGTACATTCATTGCCCTCATCATTCTCAAAACATTTCCTCTCCACTTAAGCCCCCGGCATTAGGTCCTCATTTTTCCTCTCTCCCCGCTCCCCCCTCCCTCATGAGCCCTTGATAATTTATAAATTATTAGTTTGTCATATCTTGCCCTGTCCGACATCTCCCTTCACCCACTTTTCGGTTGTCCGTCCCCCAGGGAGGAGGTCACATATAGTTCCTTGTAATCGTTTCCCTCTTTCCAACCCACTCTCCCTCTACCCTCCCAGTATCACCACTCACACCACTGGTCCTGAAGGGATCATCCGCCCAGGATTCCCTGTATTTCCAGTTCCTATTTGTACCAGTGTACATCCTCTGGTCTAGCCAGACTTGTAAGGTAGAATTCATATCATGATAGTGGGAGTGGGGAGGAAACATAGGAACTAGAGGAAAGTTGTATTTTTCATTGTTGCTACATCACCCCCTGACTGGCTTGTCTCCTCCCCGTGACCCCTCGGCAAGGGGATCTCCAGTGGCCTACTAATAGGCTTTGGGTCTCCACTCCGCACTCCCCCCATCATTCACTATGGTAAGATTTTTTGTTCTGATGATGCCTGATACCTAATCCCTTTGACACCTCGTTATCACATAGGCTGGTGTGCTTCTTCCATGTGGGCTTTGTTGCTTCTGAGCTTAATGGCCACTTGATTACCTTCAAGCCTTTAAGACCCCAGATGCTATACTTTTTGATAGCCGGGCACCATCAGCTTTCTTTGTCACATTTGCTTATGCACCCATTTGTCTTCAGTGATCCCTTCGACACCTCGTGATGACACATTTTTTTAAAAGAACTGGAGTAAAGATAGAAAATATAACTCAAGAAGTGGACTGTGGCTGGCTCAGGGGTGCAGGACTTGGGAGGGATGGGGCAAAGAGATTCCTGTTTTTATTATTTTGTACCAAATAACCCACTGGTATTCTTTGGCTGAAAACTTTTCTTTTACAGAATAAGTCCTACTTGAATTTCTGACTGGCAAAAGTTCACTTTCTCATTTAGAGTTTACCATGGTGGCGACCTGGTGAATTGGCAAGGAGAGACCCATAGGTCCCAAGGAAGACCTGAGTTTCTGAGCATGAACAACCAAGCACCCTCCTCCTCCAGTCGAGGCTTGAACTGGGGGATGCCCTTTTGTCCATGCGAAGATGCCAGAGCCTTCATTCTGCTGACTTGGATGCCCTGTTCAACGGGCACCAAAATAAGATGTAGAGTCACCGACCATGGAAAACACAAAGGAAATGGGAAAAGGCTGCATAATTTGTGGTCCTGAAATGATCCAGCATTAATAAAAGTTTATTTTAAACAGTAATTTATGTCAGGCTTATGTAGTTCAGGTCGAGTCAAGAAAAGGTAGATTCCTTCTGCCAGGAAGGAGGAAAGAAATGTATAAATTGTAAGTTTATATTGCCATTGGAAATAGAAACAAGAAATCCATTATTTAGAGCCACGATCACTACCAAATTTATCCTGGCTGCCTGGCCGTGATGGCCGTGATTCAGGCCACTCTGCTAGAAGACTTGGATCCTATTGACTTCGGCCCATAGACAGTGGGGGCTTAGTAAGAGAGCCTTATAATATCAGCTTTTGAAACTGTCATTTTCACTTTTTATAAGTAGTGACTGACCACTAGTCTCCATGTATAGCTTCTTTTAGGCTAAAGGAGCACAACTCCAGGACAGGGCCTGGACTCACGGGGCCTGGGCCGGCTGGACTGCAGTGAAGTCTGTTGGAGTCTGAAATCTTGAGCCTTTTGAGATGAAAATATTGCATGTTTTCGAAGTTTGGTGTCTCTTACATTTTAAAAATAAACACAAATTGTAATTTCCCCTAAATCTAAAATAGTTCTAAAAATCAAAGTGGTTGGTTGTTTTTTTTGAAATTTGTTTGTTTATCTCAAAAAAGAAGGACTATGATTTTACAAGTTAGGGGGAAAAAAGAAAACATATCCAAGGATTACTGTAGGCATCTGACAAGTGAATTTTGCAAATTAGTTTAACTCAATCATTTTAGGAAAGCATGTTCTTGCAAAGTTGCTAAAACAATTCTGCATGTCTAATCGCCTAATCTCGGTTTACGATGCTAGAGAGAGAGCCATTAGTGCTCTCAAATTGCTGAAAGGTACCTTTAGTTGGAGTTCAGGTTCCTCAGATGAAAAATAATTTACCCATACCAAGAATAGCATACTATTTTAAGTTCAATGGCATACTTCAGTGTCCACCGAGCCAACTGTGAATAGACAGACACTCGTGTGTAGTCTGCCCTCAAACTTACAGGATATGGTGCCAAGACTTATGGCAACTAAAACATTGGGGTAGTGATAAGATAATTGCTTCTTGTCCACTCAAGGATTTGTATATTCCATGACAGCATCATCTTTCCATCACTCTGATTGTTTTTAATCATTTTATTAAGGGTTCATACAACTCTGATCACAATGCATGCATACATCAATTGTGTAAAGCACATTTGTACATTCACTGCCCTCATCATTCTCAAAACATTTGCTCTCCACTTAAGCCCCTGGCATCAGCTCCTCATTTTTCCCCTCCCTCCCCGCTCCCCGCTCACTCATGAATCCTTGATAATTTATAAATTATTATTTTGTCACATCTTGCCCTGTCTGACGTGGCCCTTCACCCACTTTTCTGTTGTCCATCCTCCAGGGTGGAGAGTGTGATCAAGGGTAATGTAACCAAGAGGAATTACTGAAACTGAAATGAAGACTGAGCATGATAGTGGGACAAGAGGAAAGTCAGAGGAAATGGAGGAAAGAGCTAGGAGGCAAAGGGCATTTAAAGAGTTCTAGATAAAGGCATGTACATTAAGGTGACCAGATTTAAAGCGGGACACCATTGACTGGGGTGGGGAAGGGGATGAGGGGGGATTCTTGATTAAAATTTTGGTCTATATGGACCAAATAGACCGTTCCCTAGCTTATTGTGCATTCTTTCCAAAAATCGGGACTTTTTTAAAATGCCAAAAAGTGAGACTGTCCTGCCAAAAGCAGGATGTCTGGTCAGCTTGATGTACATATGTAAATATATTTATATATGAAGATGGGGAAATAGATCTATGTGCATATATGTATAGGTTTAGTATTAGGTAGCAGAAGGACATTGGGCCTCCACTCAAGTACTCCCTCAATGCAAGAATACTTTCTTCTATTAAATTGACATTCTATGATGCTCACCTTCCCAACACAATCGCTGAAGCCAAAGCGGGTGCATAAGCAAATGTGGTGAAGAAAGCTGATGGTGCCCAGCTATCAAAAGATATAGCATCTGGGGTCTTAAAGGCTTGAAGGTAAACAAGCAGCCATCTAGCTCAGAAACAACATGGAAGAAGCACACCAGCCTGTGCAATCACAAGGTGTCAAAGGGATCAGGTATCAGGCATCATCAGAACAAAATATCATATCATTGTGAATGAGGGGGGGAATGCAGAGTGGAGACCCAACGCCCATTTAGGCCACTGGACATCCCCTTACAGAAGGGTCTCGGGGAGGAGATGAGCCAGTCAGGGTGCGATGTAGCAACGGTGAAACATACAACTTTCCTCTAATTCCTAAATGCTTCCTCCCCCACACCCCGACTATCATGATCTCAATTCTACCTTACAAATCTGGCTAGACCAGGGGATGTACACTGGTACAGATAGGAACTGGAAACACAGGGCATCCAGGGCGTATGATCCCTTCAGGACCAGTGGTGTGATTGGCGATACTGGGAGGGTGGAGGGAGAAAGGGTTGGAAAGGGGGAACTTATTACAAAGATCCATCGCTCTCATTTTATAGGCTTATTTCGTGTTAAAATATTTCAGGGATTTTGAACTGGCTAAGTAAATGTCAGTCCTTTCAGCTTGATGAGGCAGCTAGAAAATACCAAGTGACCACACCTCCAAAAGCCCTTCAACCTGTTCCATTGCCCAAGCAATGGGTAAGAGTCCATGTACATGGCTCTGGGTGTAGTTGCAGTGAGCAAGGCAGACAAAGTCACATGGATTCATAGCAGTAGATAAGCTCCAAAGAAAAGAATTTAAATTGGTGATTGGTGCTGCAAAGGTGAAATGGTAGAGGATGGCTGGAACAGGGCCACTACTTTAGACTGGTCATTCAGAGGATGTGACCAAGCCTGAGTGAGGAGGAGAACCTGCCAATTAAAATAGGATGGGAAGAACCCCTGTTAGAGGTAGCAGAAAGGATAAAGATGCTATAGAGGAAAAGGGCTGGGTCTGCTTGAGAGGCAAGAATGAGTGAGGGGTGAGGAGCAAGTGATGAGTGCTGGGAAGTGAGACCTGAGATACAGGTCAGGAGGGGCATAAGTGGTTGACCTTTGAGAAGATGACTCTGCCAGGCGTGGGGAGAAGAGACCACCGGGGGCCAAGAGTGCCAGCAGGGAGGGAAGACCAGTGGCTTGGGCCAGGATGAGGGCAAGGGAGGCGTGATGAGAAGCAGAAAGCCTCGGGTGACTTTGCAATGGGCAATCATCAGAACTTACTCTTAAATTGGATAGCTGGAACAGGCAGGGTGAAGGTCAAGAGCACTCCAAGGTTCAGAAACTGAGCAGACCAAGAAGCCTAAGAGATGGACTGACTTTAGCACGTCAAAATTGGGAGGGAAGATTGCACACCAGCAGGTGGCTATAGGCATCTGACCTCAGAGGAGAAGTGAAAGGTAGTCAACAAAAACAGGACACCTGCATTTCCAGATCCAGCCTCGGTTTCTCTCTGTGTAACGGAGTCTTCTATAAAAGAGAAGCTCCTGAGCTCTTTTCTTAACATCCTGTGTGTGCATATGTGTGTTGCTTTTAACATATTGTAGTGGCAAATACATCTTCAACTCATAGAGACTCTTTCCCAAAAGCTTTAAAGTGTTTTTGACAATAGAGTATGCTCCTTGCATTTTTTTCTGCATTGAAGGGCTACTAGTCCAAGAGAATTTTAATTATCGAAAACTAGCTGCGCACCATAGGTCATTCATTGTATTCCGAACGGTGGTTGGTTGTTTATTTCTGCTGAGGGTGTATATTCATCTGTTTGTTTTTGTCTTTCTTCTTACCTCACCAGCATTTGCCAAGAGAACTGTTTCTCTGGATTCAGCTTCAATCAAGGAAGACCCCCCAAGTTTAACAATGAACGAGAGAAGTCCACAATCCAAAAAGGAGGAGTCTGAGAACAAAAGAAGCAAAATCTAATTAGTGGCCTGGCATTAGCGTTTTAAGAATTACAGAAGGTCTGTTTGCCACAATTCGGCCCCGGTTATCTTGCAGACTCACCTGCAGCTTCAGAATGCGCTAACCAGTGACTACAATTATAAAGTGGCTGGTCTTTATGGATAGTATACATTAAACCGATCCAACTAATATTGGCTGGATGCCAAGCCACTAACTTATCGGCAACTTGCAACAGCAGAGAAAGTAATAGTTTTCAGTTGGTATTTTTCTTTTTTCAGGTGTGGTCAGGTCACATTTTCTTGACCAAAATGTGGATGTATAATTGAGGTCTTTAAAAAAATGACTGGGTAAAGAGGAGGAAAATGAGTTCCCCTTGAGGTGAAAGTTGCCAGCACTTTAGAGTCAGGGACATTTACTATAAAGTAGGTTTTTAAAATGCTCTCTCCCTAATAAATTATCATGTGTTATAACATGTCGTGGAGATATGCATATAGTATTAGTCCACTTTATAAATACTCAGGATTTTTACATTCATCATCTCAAAAGTATGTTACTAAGTTCAGTGTTTGAAATTGTTTTCTAATCAGCCATTTTTAGTGTCAATAAAGAATTGATAAATGATCCCTGGATTGCAATGGACTATAAAGAATTCATAGCATGATTGATTTATTTATCTTTTGGGGGCCAAATCCACCGCTGTGATCATTTCGGTCATGCCCAGGACCATCTTTGGCTAACTCAGAACAGAATCATCATCCCAAACTCCTGTGTCCACAAGACTCGCTCTGCGGGAATGCTTGTGTGGTTTGGTGCTGTGTTTCTGCTTCAGAACCCCAGTTTTTCTCAAGCTGCAAGTATTTTTAAGAACTTATGCCTTCCACATACTGGCTGAGCCCTGGAGACGATTTTATAGAAAGTGCGAAGCAATGATAACTATCCAGGAGTTGACTCCTGTGGTGGGAAGGCTCTGCACGCAGACAAGGACAATAAAGCAGTAGTACCTTTGCCGCGGTGCATCACTGTTTTTGTTCAAGTAGGCCTGCTTGTTAGATTTCTCCCGTTTTATAAAGATCCCCTCGCAGGATATTTTTTTCTGGCTGGGTAGATTTGAATTACAAAAGAAGAAAATGGCTCTCCTTCCATAAAATTGAATATAACGATTCCAACCAAAGATAGGGATGCTTTATATGAAAAATCATGTACAAGCATAGAGAGCTTGGGCGTAGCCTCCATAACCTCTAGGGACCATCGGTGCATGTTCCCATGTATCCATTCCAAATACCTTTTATTGAGTTCCACTGTATGCCAGATAATAAATATGCTGGGTGTTGGGGGGGCCGGTGGCAGGAGGCTGAGAGAGGAGACAAAAACAGGTGCCATGTTCCAGCGTTTGTCTGGCACTAGGTAGTACTCGAAACGGGAGTTCTCAGAGCTGTGAATGTGCCAGTGGGCGTTCTGGGGCCTTAGTAGGTGGAGCACAGTTCGAAAGAGCAGGCCCCAGTGGTCGCATCTCTCATACTCTATAGCACTCTAGAAGAATAGGTGGTATTTTGAGAAATTACTGCAATGTCTCCATTGGTATTTCGGGCCACTGCATAGTATATTTATCTCCTTGGATAAATAACTAACAGAAGAAAACAACAGATTTTGTTTGAAACCTAAGGACCAAAGGTAGGTAAATAGATTTTCCTTTATGAATTAGTAGAAATGTCCTGCATCTGTTACTACAGCCTCTGTGACTATTATCAACACTAGGTAGACTTGAAAGTTTCAGGGAATGCATCTTATGGACTTGGGAAATCCTTGAAAACATAGTCTCTTGTGATTTTATAACTGACTAGGGAGGAAATCTTTTAGAAGACCTTTAAATCTGAAAAATAAATAAAACCACTGTGTCCTGCTATTCAATTTCTTGGACTGTTGGATGAATGAAGGCATTTGACTTTAAACATGGAACACACAAGAACTTCAAAGGCAAAAGTCAGTGTTCTTGTGAGCAGCAATTTTGTCAAAATCCCTTGGCCCTCTGTTTACATGGACGTTAATCCAGCGACCTGTCTCCTCTGAGGATTTGTCTTCTCTCTCACAGTCTCACTATGCTTGAATGGAAAATCCACGGGAATATTAAGGACACACTAATAAGTTGATTTATGCATTTCAAAGCCATCACCATTTTTCCTTTGCTCCCTCCTTTGGCAGGATAGCCTCCATGATATGGTTATCAACCTTATTTGTGTTGTGGCTGGTTAGCAGCCATCTTACGTGGAGCACTGGGACCTGGTGCAGGAGAAATGTCATTCTGTCCTGCATCTGGTTCAAGACTTCCTTTGAAGATTGGCCTCTTTGGTTTTGTGATTTTGATTTTTCTGGCCATCTTTCTCCCTCAACACACTAAACTTCCATTGGAATGTCTGAAGGCCACAGAGAGGAGAAATGCAACTGAGGGAGACCTGGCTGAACGTTTTTCCCATTAGCGAAAGTCATAGTATTTCCTCGACTAGGTGTGGCCTGAAAACCAATTGGTTTTGTAACTAGATTCCAAACATAGCAACAGGTTAGTGCCTTTCAGAAAGAAAGTCAAAACAATATATGAATCTTATGCATCCTGTCTGCTTTTCTTTTTACTGTTACCATTTTACTATATATCTTTACGAATAAAACAATCAAGTCAATAGCTTCATAAAATAACTGTGTTTGTGGCATTTTGATTTAAAGGTTGCATGGATAAAATTGCCTACCTACTTCCTAGGAAAGAGTCCATTTTTCCTTATTTCTTTCAACTGTAACAAATCCATCGTTCTATTTTGAACCTCAATTCTGTGGTGTCCAATGTCAAACTACCCAGTAGGCGCGGGCTTACTTGTGTTTATTTACTAATCTGTAAGGAGCAATTTCACATTGTTTTAACCACATCAAAGACTCTTTTTGTAGATCTGGCTAACACCTGTCTCTCTCAAACCCACAGCACCTTCTTACAGAATCAAAATCTCTTCTCAAATGTATCCCCCCTAGATAGGAGATGGATAGCCAATTAGCAAGGTAAGCCCTGGCCTATTTGTGCTTACCCAGTCTGTCATCAATATTTCACTTGTTTTCATAGTATTTCATTCATCAACACTCCGTGCTCTTGAGTTGATTGTGACTGACAGCAACCTTACAGGATGCAGAAGACCTAGAGTCTCCCAGGCGTTGGGTCTTTGTGGAAGCATCTTTCTCCTGTGGAGGGGCTTATAGGTTTGATGGCCAACCTTTGGGTTGGTTTGCTAAGCACTGTACTCATTGTACCAGCAGGATTCCTGTACTGCATCAAAGGTATGGTGAAGCCCATGTGACATTGTTCACTAGAGATTGTTAAGGATGAGTACAGCCACGCCTAACTTGCTTCTTGGGTCATCTGCTCCTGGTGTTCCTTAGAGATTCACAATAATCCTGTTACATTTTTCCTAATATATATTGACTCATCGTTAAAGAGCGTTCATTAGATTAAATGGGATGAAAATGTTACATATAATGAAATGGTATGTTTACTTAGAAACCCTCCCCACTTTTTTTTGAGACATAAAAAAAAAAAAAACCTCCAGTGGGTTTGCTTCAGATTTGTGCTGAAGTAAATACACCCTATGGCAGTCAAGAATGTGAGCGGTCGGTCATTTTAGAAGTTGTTCCTTTTCCAAGATCTTTATACCACCTCTCTGAACAAACGAGGCCAGGGTTTTCTCTCAACTTCCAACAGAAAGTTCGTGATTTCTGTGGCCTTCAAGTTAGGAAGCTGTCCTCACGAAAGCATCTGGTTTTCTTGGATCAAAACGAAACCAGGAAAATAAAGCTGGAAAATAAATTTGGAAAAAGTTTCTATTTAAAAGCATTTCAGGCACCAATGTATGATAGAAAAATAATTTACATATTTTAACTTTTAAATTCTCGAAGGTTTAGCAATAATAACCAAGCAACGTATCCCTGTTTGAGAAAACAAAAATTCAAACCAAGAAAAATGCCATTTAGTCTCATCTCTTTGTAAAACACAACACATCCAATTTACAGCTGGGAGAAATACACCTGGAATCAGAACTTTCAGTTCCAAGTCCAAACAATGTCAGAGAATTCTCCCTGGTTTTTGATTAGTAGCAGTATAAGCCAGTCTTCTCTGGAAAAAACAGACCGGCCTTCAAATGCTGGCCTCTCTTGGGTCTCCTGTTGTATACATGCCTATGCATATGTCCTGTCTGACTCAAAGACAACCCATGTCATCAATAGACCAGCCCTACTGGTAACCTCTGAAGTCTATTCCCTTACTATCCCCACAGAGAGACCAAACTCTGAGCTTGCCACACCTGTATTTCAGAATTCGTACAGAATTTTAGTGTCACCTGACTAATCTTCTCTACTGAACCCCCAGGAATATTTCCAGGGCTAGATTTGGGTGCAAAGTCATGTGCCACTTGTGGCCTGGCTTGCTGCAGGATAAACTGAACGCTAAACAGCAACATGTTTGTGCCCTTTCGGGAAGACAATTGAGTTGAAACCATATACTTGCATCATCTGATGAGCTTCCTATTTCAAAATGTGGACCTGTATGCCTTAGCATCGAGGCCGTGAAAAATGAAATTACTGCTATCACTCAAGGAGAGACACGCAGCGCGGATCACCTGTGCTCCTAACGATAGTTTTCCATGGTTTAAAAAGCTGAAGCTACAGATTTGCTGCCACAGTGGGTTAGGCATGGAGCTGCTAACTAACCACACAGGCAGCATTTTGGATACACCAGCTCTTCTACAGGAGAAGGCTGAGGCTGTCGACTCCTGTAAAGATGTGAAGTCTTGGTAACTCAGAAGGGCAGTTGCAATCTGTCCTGTAGGGTCGCTAGGAGTCCCGATCAATGGGAATGCAGTGAGATGTGTTCTCTAGGACGGATGCTCTGGTTTTCTCAAAGTGGCAGATCCTGGACCCTCAACAGCATTTAAAGATGATTGAGAAGCCATGACTTCCTATAGCCCATTTATCTTTCTATACAGTCCCATGACCTTTCCACTCATTTGTTTGTTTTGTTGTAAATAAAAGCAAATGTTAACATGGATCCTTAACTATTAAGAGTTCTGTGTCATCTCTATTATATGCTTTAGTGGAAATAAAAGACGAGGTTTGAATATATATATTTATATTTGACAAACTTACTAGGAATATTTTTTAACTGTCAGCAATTCAAATGTTAACATTTAAATGCAAAAGATCTTATTCTAAGGGCAAAGAGCTAGTATTTGATGCTCACTAGTTAGCCCATAATTAATTGATGGCCTCCTTTAAGTTCTGACTTCATGCTTTGATAAAATGCTTGTTTGTTTTTTCATAAAGGCAATCTGATTATCGCCTCAGAATTTATTTCAGTTTATTTATTACAAATCAGGTAATGTACTTATGAATCTCACTAAGATGGCTTTTGAAAGACCAACACCCTTGGTCCACAGGGTGAAAATGCACATTTTGATCATGCGTCTCCCTTGGTCCTTCAAATCTTGGGACTGTTTCCTCTCTGGCAACGCCTCGCTTTCATTTCCTTCCCTGGGTCCTGCAGTCATCTCATCAGGCAATTTTCGAAGCAGCTCTGTGGTTGTTATTTGAGCAAATCTGTGGACCTGCGTCAGGCTCATTTGCGCTGTGAATATCTGCGTTCTTTCA